CAACATACGACAATAAAAAACATTCAATCTATGTCAGATGGAGAATATCTAACATTTTCATGTAAAATTATAGACATTGTCTCAGTAAGTTTTCAACAAAAAAACACTTTCTTACCAAATATTTTCTTTTTGAGGAGGAAATTGTATTCTTTAATAATGTACATAAAAGGAGTCAAAAATTAAAAAAAACTGTACTATTGGCTGATAAAACTGATTGTATCAAATTAAATCTTTGGCAGAACAATTTTACATTTATAGAAAAAAATCAATCTTTCTTAATTAAATTAGCAAAAGTGAAAATATTTAATGATGAAATATCTGTAACAACAACAACACATACAACGTGAGCTTCTGTATTATTCGCCTTCGTTTTTCTTTATTTATAAACAGCTTCCAAATTGACAAATATCTCTTAACATATACCTCTAAAAAGATCAGTAAAAAATATTTTTTTAGATTTGAGTCCACCGATAACATCGCTGATGTTGTCTCTTGTGATTATCTTAACATCGTACAAGATTCATCAATATCCGGTACCATAACTTCAATTGGATTAATAGAGCAGCCTTGTCTTTGTCCAAAGTGTAATTCAACTGATGTTGAATGTCATGGCAAGACTATTAAATGTATAACATGTAAATCAAGATCATTGTATGCACAAGACTCAATTCAACAAAACCAAATAAAACTTAACGTAACCGATATTAATCATAATATGTTTGAATTCATTGTTGAAAGATCAAAAATTCAAGTTTTATTACAAGAATCTAATCATGAAAAAGTTTATCAAAACGATTTGCTGGAAGACGAAGATGTATTACTTGCCTTATCTTCATTGAACGTTTTTATTAATTTTAACCCAAAAACTATGCATATAACTACTATTGCATTAAAAAATATCTAGAATAACTAAATCAATTTTTATTAAACATGAATAAAACTAAGCATTTCTAACTTCCTGACATTTGAACAAATATTTCAAAGTTTTTTCTATGTTCGAATTCCACCGTTTTTCCTATCTAGATATTTATCCTGGTTGAAGTATTCATTCCACACTTTCCCTCGATCTGGTCATTCATATAGATTCTTACACTTTCTTTCACAAATAAATGTTTAGCTACTTGATTATCTCGAAACATCATAAATCAGTGAACAATTTCATAGCTTTTAAGCTGCTTCATATAAACTTTAAATCAATACTATCACGATACTCATTCGTATCGGATTCACATACGATCATTTCTGTTCCTTTATCATCCAACCATTACATATAACTGTTCATTCAAATCTACTGTACCATCCTCATAATAAAATTCTAAAGCTCATCAAATAAAAACTTATATATTTTTTCTCTGCTCTTTTTTTTCTTACAAAAAAATTCATCTAAATTGTTGGGAAAGTTATAAATTAATTAAAGTTTTTGAATAATTCTATACACTGTCTACAGACTAATTGTGTACAGTGTTGTTAGTTTATTGTGCAGAACCTCATAAAAAATATCTAAAATCCTAAAATACTTGAATACCACATCAATTAGTTCTATAAAACAAAAGTTTTGCTTCATCATTTAAACGGGGTACATCGTGTTTCACATTTTTAATCCCCTAAGGGATTGCGCTAACAGCTTTTTCCTAGCTCGGTAACAAGAGTTTTTCCCTGGAATAATTCGGATTAATCTATTACTCTCTAATTAACGGTTTAATTTCTCTTTTTTTTCATAGCGAACTATAAATAGAGATGATCTTCACTAGATCTAATCATTTATTATTTCATGTCTCTCCCATTCTCCTCGTCGTTCAAATGGATGCCATTTTCGTTTCTCGTAAGTATTGTTTTTTTTTATTTCAAATTCCTCAAATAATTTCAACGTAGGTCGCCGTAATCAAATAAATCGTCGTCGTCGGCGGCGGCGGCAACAAAAACGACAACAATTTCAGGTCGTTTTTCGTGTTCGTGGTTTGTTCGGTGGTGGCAGTGATACGGTCACCGTAACAAGTGCCAGGTAAAATAAAAAAAAAAACTTTGTAAATATGTATCTAATTTTTTAAACCTTTTCTTTTTAGTCCACTGACCATCACCGTCAATCCAGCACCATCATTGGTGGCTCCTCCTCCACCGCCACCACCTGCTGCTCCAGTACAACAACAACCATCCGATCATCCTGATTATAGTCAACTTGATATTGACAACGTTTTATTATTTTTTTGTTTTCTTTTTTTTTCTTGTTTGATTCTTTTGTTGTTTGTCTTCTCGTTTCGTTTTCTTTTCTGTTTTGCCTCCGGTGATAAAGTCTTTCAGACTTTTTTTGTTTTGAAAAAAAAAAACTTGAACACTTACTTAATTTTATTATTTAATATTGGATGAAAAGTGAATCAGTATCGAAGTTCTTCTATTAGTGACAAACACTAGCCTAAATACATATATCAGAAAGATCATAAGGAAAGACAGAATTAACTCCTTAAACTTTACAACTAACCTTATTATTCGTATGGATACGAATTTTTCTGTTAAAAAAACATTGATACTAAAGAAAGAGGCTGTCATATCGTTAACGTAATCATGTATAATATAGTAATTTATTTATTTCTTTTAGTTACCAAGTTGTGTTGTTGAATAATTTAATCGGGGATATATAGTATCTTAAACTTTTTAAATGCCTTTATGCTCTTATTGAACTATTATATATATAAATATATTCTATTCTTAATTCTTTTTCAATCAACATAGTTTGTTTTGAATGTCATTTAGTAATTACAATATGCTACAATTAAATGGTTTTTTTTAAGTATTCTATTGTGAAAATGTTTCTAATAAATGCGTTATATCATTAAACTGTTTTTTAATATATATATATATATATACGTATAAGTGAAATCTTTCATTTCTGCAATTATTTTGAATAAATGATAAACAGTCGTTAAACGTACACCCTCGATATCAGTTTAATTTCGAATTAGTCACATTAGTGGTCACTAATTTCTTTCTCGTTCTGTCTCCAAGGCTTGACCTTTTAGATGTTTTTTTCTCGTTCTGTCGGTCAACATCGAGGGGGTGTCGATGTTTCTGAGACCTTTCGATGACACTCGAGGGTATCGATTTTCCTTTTCTTTCATTAACGGTTATTAACTGCGTAATTTTTTATCGGTCACCAACGGTTTTCTGTTTCATGATTTTTTTAAAATTATATTTCTGTCTTAATCCAAAGATATAAACAGTGATGATCTTGTTTAATTGAATCATTTATCTTTCCATTCTTCTGTGTATTGCTGCTGCTAATACTAATGGATCGTATTTATATATATCGTAAATTTTCTTTTCTTAATAACAAATACTCTAAATAATTTACTTTTTAAGAAGAGGAAATCCAATAAATCGTCATCGTCTTGTTAAAGAAATTTGTTTTTTGGTCTTTAATAAATAAAATTGTCAGCTTGAATTAATGTCTTTTCATTTTACATATAGACTCATAATATAAGTTATTCCAATTGTAAGTTCGTTTGAATGCAATAATTTTCTAATAGCTAAATAAAAGATAAAATAATTTTGAAAACATTCTAGGATTCACTTGATTGAATTACTTCCCATGAGTGTTCTTTCAAACAAGTCTTGAGGAGCTACATATATTCATGTGAAATAGGGCTGCGCATGGGTGTACTGCGAATCAAATCACGTTGCAATTTTTTGTTGTGTTAATAATTATGTTGTCATACGTGAAATGAAATGTAACCTGTCTACGACAAGTCTAAAATATGAAACCACAAGTGCCGCTGAAGGTGAGGCACATTGAACACATTGTTTTCGTTACTTTAAATTAACAATGGTTATAGTTTCTCTGAATACCAGAGCATGATATTTTTTTTTTTTTTTGAAAATCGAATTTCGGGAATATATGCGAGAGAAATCTTTTCATTACACTTGGAATATACTACGTTAAACGATGCATTCATCTAGTCGATAGAGATTGGAAAAAGGTGGATATACGCTTCGCTGTAATATATTCGTTTTTCTAATATTAATAGGTAATATTAGTTTATTTTGTTGAAGTTCCATCAATAGGCCACTTAAGCAAACTTATGTACTGTGTATAATATCCGAATATCTACAGTTTTTCAGGAACATGATCTATTTGAAAAACTCATTTCTTTCATTCACCAGCATCATTCAAGGCTATCAAGAAAAAAAACCAAATCCTATTGCAATAACTTCACAACGAAAACCGTACATCTGAAACTACGAAACAACGCATATAGTTCTCTGTCATAAAACACGAAAAATTAGAAATAAACAATAGTTAATAACAATGAAGTGACAATGTACTATAAAGCAATCTATTACTGCAGTGTGAAAATAACTACAATATAGTAGTACGTCACAGTACAACACTGTAAAAAATGGGTGCAGAATAAAAAAAACCCTTCAAAAGAGTTTATTAACCTCATAAATCCTATCATATACCCATTTTAGTTTCACAAACCCTTCAATATACCTTTTTAATTCATAAACCTTGGCAAGGGTATCTTATATGTTGCACTTTCATAAACCCTTTAGGGTATATGAGTCTTCATATACCCTTTGAAAGGTATATCGGCTGCATAAACCTTTCTCAACAGGGTTTCTTATTCTACGATTTTTTCTAAACGGTTTATCAATAAACGCTTCCTATAAGGGTTTATGCAGCCGATATACCTTTCAAAGGGTATATGAAGACTCATATACCCTAAAGGGTTTGTGAAAGTGCAACGTATAAGATACCCTTGCCAAGGTTTATGAATTAAAAATGTATATTGAAGGGTTTGTGAAACTAAAATGGGTATATGATAGGATTTATGAGACTAATAAACTCTTTTCAAAGGTTTGTTATTCTGCGCCCATTTTTTACAGTGAATTGCACAGGGCAGTGTGCACTTATGTATATCCATAGACTGACAATGCATCATATATCTTAATGTGTTTATTAAAGAGTAACAAACTACAAAATATATTACTATGTTACAATAATGTGATAAACAGTGCTATAGAGTCTCAATCTTGTATAGACGGACAAAAAAAAGGGTTTATTTTATTGAATCACTACACAGTAACTGCACATCTTTCCGATCATATTCACATAATATACAGAAAAAAAAAGTTTTATGAACTAAACCCTCGATATCCAGGGTTCAACCTCGATATCCACGGTTCGGGTGTGGGTGTGGGTGTTTTAAGAGACTATCCACACCCACGCTCACCACCACCAACATCCACATCCCACACCCGCCCACACCATCCACACCCACACCCACACTCTGACTGCATGGGTATAGTCGCAATTTCATAACAGTGCATCCGATTTTGCTTGAAAAGTAATATGAATGAAAGATATCGTCACATCAACGCCTTGATTTTAGTTCATTTTGGCGATTATATTTGATCGGAACAGTTTAACATCGTAAGTAGTCTCTAATAATGATATCCACTTCATATGTTAGAAATATGAGCTTCTAAAAATGAGTTTCATCTTTAATGCATCATTGGATTTTTCATTGGACATTGATTTGATGAATCGTGAAAATTTGGTCATAGACTATTGACTCACCAATGATCAACTCAACCATTAACTTATCTATCTGTTTTTATTCATTTGAATCGTTTGTTTCGTTCATCATCAATTCATCAACATTACTTCCTAAAGATGAACCTGTCGACAGTATACTTAAATAGCTCAATTCATGCACAAATGAATTATGAACAAGGTCACTCTTTTATTGTTTACTCTATTTTAAAATACTTTTTATTTAACTAAAGAATTAGAAATATTCAATCGACAATTAAGTAATCATATTCAAATTAAACGAAATTATGATGTATCTCAAAAATGATGCGCAACTTTTTGCTTTCCCTACTCAAACATCTTGTAAGCAAGGTCTTGATAAGATCTGTACCAAGATTTTGAAATGTCAACATCAAAGAAAAAAATAATAACCTGAATATCTTTCTCCAAGGTCTTGACTAAAACAATAGCGATGCCATAGATGTATTTTCATAATCAAAAATTCTTAATTCATTTTAAATTTATATGCAGAAAACATTCTCATTTAATTTTTTAATATAGCAGGTATGAAGGAGGTTCTCAACAGTGGAGGCACGTATCATCCAATACAATTAAAGATTCAAAATATAAAGAAAAAAGAAATAAGATAAACTCTGTCATCTACGATTCATTTTTTTTGACTAGTTTACTGCATCTTTGTGAAAGACGTTACCGGTTATTTTNGTGGGTGTGGGTGTGGGTGTGGGTGTGGGGTGTGGGTGTGGGGTGCGGTGTGGGCGTGGGTGGGGGTGTGGATCAAAGGAAAAAGTAAACTCACACCCACACCCACACCCCCACACCCACTCACACCCACTCACACCCACACCCACACCCACACCCACACCCACACCCACACCCACACCCTCATTGTTAATGAATATATTGTATATTGTTCATACTATTATAATAAATTTTTTATTATCCATTTATCAACATTAGACTTGACCACCAATGAACCAAATGTTGGTTCACAATGTGCAAAATGTTGCAAGTCGGCATATGTCGAACTTGATTCAGGAAAGTCATGCAGAATAACTGGTATAATTGCTACACGATTAGTTGCTGTTTGATCCACTGTCAACCCTTTGAGTAATTCTCTTTTTGGTCGTTCAATCAATTCTTTTACTGTGTCAGTTGCACTAAAATTTCCTATTGGAATAACAACTGCACGATTAGAAGTTCCTTTATTCCTATTTGCCCAGCCATCAGGAACGGATTCATCATTATCTGCCATTGGATTTTTGAATTTGTCCCACTCTGCAATGAGGCGCAAGTCAATTTTATTTATCAAAACTAGAATATTGATTTGAGTGTCATTCAAAGTTCTGTTTAGTAACTCGATAGTATGCTGCTGATTGACATCAGTCAAAGTTGTTACTAGAATAAATAGGCTGGCTGAATTCAATGACATATCTAATAAATTTCTCCCTTGTCCTGTAGCATCATCTTGCCCAGGGTTATCCACAACGCTAATTGATAATACCGACTGATCCTTTTTTCTACTGTTTAGTTTAATGAAAGCTGAACATTGTAATGACATACGAGTATTAAATGCATTGATATTTTGCAATTCTTTCAAGTTTCTTCCAGTAAGATACTTGAACAAGGTTGATTTGCCCGTTTGGGATCTACCAGCAATCACAACTTTCGGTGGTTTTTGTGCTAATATGTCACGCATTAAACAAAACGTAGGAAAAAGTCGAATTATTCCAATCCAGTTATCGCGATGCTTCGCTTCTGCAACTGATAAACCTAAGACAAAAGAGAAACAATCATTTTGCACACATGTCATCAGATACCAATCAATCAATATTTGCTAAGCCTGTCTAATGAAAGGAATTTTGTGAAAATAGCAATTTTTCGTAAAGTTAGATAAAAGACTTTTACAATTAAACTATGATTTTCTGTCTGCGAATTAATTTAAATGAGCAAAAAGTCATTGAAATCTGTAAATTCCGTTTATTGAGCACCACCTTTAATGTATGATGCTGATGAAATAGAATTTTATCTTCAATTGTTTTTTAATTTACTCTACTAGTTACCAAACACATTGTTTTTCAAGACATATAAAAGTCGATTCTAGTTAATATTGAATTGACGCTAATTTCATAGTACATTCAACCCTTATGATTTGATGGTATTGGCGTTTTAATGACAAGAACATACAGGTGTTAGGGTTATATGAGAGAGAACAAGACATAACGATATCGCTTCACTAAGACGACTCTTTTCCATTTTCATCTATGAAAACAATCATATCGAAAATGGATTATTTAACAACACATATCTGCCGATCTAATTTGAGCTAGCGTTTTAGTTTTCTATGCAACTGTAAAAGTCAAATCATGAGCAGAAAAGTGAGATTCAATATCTTCAAGTGTTCGGTAGTACCATTTGGCCAATGACCTAAAATAAGCTGACTTAACAAAACAGATGTGGCAAAAACTTTGGGTTGAACCATCCATATTTGTGAATGGACAGTTAGGTTAAACAGCTTTAATATCGTTTTACAAAGGTTTATTAGTTTTGCGATATCATTCTGCTTGGAGAAGCAACAAATGTAATAAATTTTAATAAACTAATAAGAAGTTGGGATTTCTCAGCGCCGAAAGGTTTCGACAAAATTCTGTTTCGAATATCAGTTTTTCAAGTTGTCTTTTTCTTGCTAAACTCGTACAGTTGTCATTACTTAGTACTCACTACAGGGTCGGAAAGAATATTATTCAAGGGGGGGGGGGGGGGGGAAAAGATAAAATCTCGAATAGGAGGTATGATGAATTTTATACCAAATGAAAGCCCGTGAAAAACGGGGTTTAGTGATGCTAAATACAAAGGCTTTGGAAAACTTTCATACATCAAACCCATAAAAAGACTGCGTTTTGTTGAAAAAAAATCATTATAACTCATTTTTAATGAGTTTCAAGATATTGAAAATGAAGAGTTTTATAGAAAAAAAATCACAGAAGGTTATGGTAACGATTAGAAAACACAACTATAATTCAGAAAACAAGATGATTCTCTTGCGTTCTTTTGTTTACTACTTGTAATTTTAGTTGTTCTATCAAAGATTTTTTTCTTTTCGTTCTGCACGAAAGTCATAGTGGAGAGAAATTTTGGAGATACATCGTGGGATATAAAAGATAATTTTCTTATCGATATGTATCATAATAAAATTCATCGTCTCGTTAAATCATCACACTTTTGTTATTTCAAATGGCTGGTGCTTATGATACTGAACAACAGAGAATGATTGACAGGATCAAGTGCATCGCTTTTCGTGAAGCTCGCGATGCTGGTGCAACATTTATAAATAGACAATGGATTGCGGACAAAATTCATCGCACAACTCGATTTGTCTCGGAGTGGTGGGAAAAATCATATGACCAATGCTTTGCTGATTATTCAAATGTTGGTGCTAAACCTAAATTATCAGAAGCTAGTCGAGAAATTATTCGTCAAGCAAGTGGTCAACAAAGAAAAAGCGGTCCTGTTGTGGCAAAGGAGATTGCAGAAAAGCAAAAAGAATATGTCACCGGAAGAACAATTAATAATTACCGTCACAGAGAAGGATTAAAACCGTTTCATGTTATTCCAAAACCGTTAAAATCTGAAACTCATATATCAGATCGATTATGGCTCTGTGACTGGGTAAAAGATTGGACTGTAGAAGATTTTCTTCATCTGGCACCATCTGATGAATTTTATATTTGGACTGTCCGTCGACCAAATTATCAGAATGATAGGATCTGGGCGAAAAGTATTGAAGACGTTACTGAAGATGAAAGATATCGTGAAATGGTGAAAAACCAATCATGTGTTGGAGTTTTTATAATGTTTATTTGCAAAAGATTACTATGGATTATCAAAGATAAAGGGGAATCTTGGACAGGTCAATATTTTCGCGATATTGTTTTGATTGAAAATGTAATTCCTTTCTTAAAAAATGAAGAAAATGTTATTGATCCTGATGAAGTTATATTTGTTCACGATAAAGCACCGTGTATGCGAGCAAATAAAACTCAACATTTGCTCCAAGACAACGATGTCAAATTTTGGGGTAATGATATCTGGCCAGGAAATTCACCTGATCTCAATGTGGCAGAACACATCGGATCAATAATCAAAGATGAAGTTGAAAAAAAAATGTCATCGGAAAGTGGACATAATCGATATCTTGAAGAAACGCTCAAAATGCACGTCGCAAATGTTTTAGCAAGCATGGAAGAAGATACTGAACTATTTGAAACTCTTCTATGCTCATATCCATCTCGATTTCGTGCTGTAAAAAATGCTAATGGTCGTCACACAGATTATTGATTCTATTCATTAAAGAATAAAAAAAGAAACTATTTTCTAATGCCTTTAATTCGAATACTATATGATAAACTAGTTTTCTCATGACTTTCATGGATGAAAAATCGGAACTTTTCAGAGTTTGACATATGAAAGTTTTCCAAAGCCTTTGTATTTAGCATCACTAAACCCCGTTTTTCACGGGCTTTCATTTGGTATAAAATTCATCATACCTCCTATTCGGGATTATATCGTTACCCCCCTTGAATAATATTCTTTCCGACCCTGTACAAGTAACGAATACAATTTGTGTTACAACAGTCTTAGTAACTTCCAGATAAGGACACAATGGCGACAAATAATTACCGGTCCTTACTGAATTTAAGGAACTACTTCTAACTTCACGATGAATCTAATCTATTATCGCTATTCTTGATGAATAGAAATCTAATGCTTCGATCCTACCAGTTTGTTGTTGTTATTGTCTGACTGAAAATGAATTGTAATTATACCGTTAGAAATTACTGCAAAAGCTTCTAATTAGATGTGATTTCTAAGATACTCTGTTGGTTTTAGCCTATTGTATTTAAAAATAAAGTCAATCATTCAGCATTAAATATATCAAGACAAGTCAGTAGGCTTGGAACTATTCTTTATAAGCGACAATCAGTGTTTTTATGAGCCAATAGCATCAAAATAACAAGAAAGATGCAAAGTTTTTATGTTACACTAATACACTTTTAAACTCTCATTGACAAACAATAGAGTTATATGATGGGAAGTTATACCTTTACAAAGAGAGGTAGGTAATTTCTAAGTATCTTTGTTAGAAATATGCAATATTCTATGGGAAACGAAATATCATAATCACACTTGCTCTCTATAGTTAAAAATTATTTTGATATTTTCGATTTAAGACTTATAATACTATCCGTGTTATATAAAGCGAAAATATGTAATGATATTAACAGCAATTATTTTGATGAGAATCATTAGTATTATTCAAGTCTTCTTTAGCTAAGTGCTTTTTAGCAGTATCTGGACTAGTCCGCCACGAATACAGGTGACAGTGGTCCGTGGGGCCAGTGAAATAGTTTCAGAAGATTGGCATACGGTAGTAACAGTGCAAAGGTAGTCGATGAAGTAGATAAAAGCGACCGGTGACGATGACCATCACCGGTGCATCCCTACTTGCAGATGACTTACCACAATCCAATAAAGTGTTCTTTTTAAATGTGTGCTTCCAAATCGCATTTAATTCCTGTACAGATTTAGCTTTTATTATTTCTTGTGACCACGTACATTCTTTAATGCGAGTTAGGAGTTGCCACACATCTTCATTTATATCTACACATTCGCCACTTGATTTCAACAAATCAATTGCCAATTCTCTTATGCTCTTCTTTAGTATATCAAACTTGGACCAATTATCTACAATTTTGCGCATTATAGCGTCCCCTAATCTGATGCCTCGGCGTCCGAATACGAAACCTGGCAAGGCTGCAAATAATCCTACATACATGCCACCTATGGCTAAAGCTGATTCAGCAGCATACTGCAGAGTTCCCTTCTGAAAAGCACCGACTAAACTGTTTAGTTTAACATTAATGAAAAACAATGGAGCCATAGTAATTTTCATGGCTTCTTTGATAGCATCAATATCTCGGTCTTGGTGAGTATGCAAATCATGCAAATGCTGGCGAAGTTTATCATATTCTAGATATAAAGGTGTCAGTTGTGGTCCATCAACAGAATTAAGTGTATTTGACAATCTGTTATAGATTTCTTTAGCTTTTTGTCGCGTTTCATCGGAAACGTTGTTTGCATCATCGCTAGTTTTCTTTAACAGCTTCAGCTCGTTTCGAAAGTATTCCTTTTTACTGTCGCGTGCTTGAGGCAGCTGAATAGATTCTAAATATTTCGTAGCGTTGTCCAGATAATTAGAAGTCTGTAATTCAGTGATGTATCTTGCCAAAAGTTCATCTAATTCGTCGTTACCAATTAATTTGAATGCATCGAAAACCTGTGAGAAGTATTGTGACAAAGGTGAGTTGTTGTGTTCTTGAACTGAACTCGCATCTAAAACTAATTCTTGATAAGCAGAGAGTATTATTGAGATTGGATCTTGTTGAAGAGTTTCACGTGCTATTTGACTGCCTGAATTTGATAAACGAGCAACAGAAACATCACAGGATCCAAAGAAAGTAGTGACATGAATGACGATTGTTGAATTCTCTGTAATAAACTCACTTGATAGTTCTGATTTGTAGTATAAAACAGCTCGTCCATCAGATTTTTCTGATATTGTTATTGGTATTTTATCTGGAGATTGATTAGGTTCTGCTAATTCAGGTGGCAATGTCACGAAACGAATAAAATCAACCAAAAAACCCCTAAGATAAATGTAGCTGTCACTTGTATTAATTTCGTTAGGATACAAAACGGTAGCCGACACATTAAAAATTGATTTTGAACGCTCGATATCGAGTAATGATCTTTGCACAGTTAATTTTGGCTCCTTTAAATGACTCAATCGTTGATTAGCCGATTCATTAAATAACTGATTAATCGAAAATGGATAACAGCCGTGATCAATAAATGCACGATAAGTAAATTTGAATGGCTCAGAAGGAATCAATTGTCTCTTCAAAAAATAAGTGTACCAATTATCTCCATCTCTCAAATATTTCAACATGATGTTTTTTTCATCTTCAGATTCGCCAATTGTTTTGATTTCTAAACTTGCTGTCTGATTTTTAACAATAAAATGATGACGTCCTAACACAGCGTAAGTAGGAATGACAGCATCACTTATCATATCGACAATTTGACCACCAGCATCAAGTATTGTTTGCAGTGGCTCGCCAATAAAATACGCAATAAGCTTTCTTCCGATCTTTGCATAGCAATTACAAAATGATTTAACTATCTTATTCGCCTTTTTCGACCCAAAGGTAGCCAAACGAAAAATTGCATCATTTTCATATATATAAGTATCAAACACACCATACCAGTTCACATAACTCGACCAGAAATCGTTATCAGCACATTGAGGCACCCCAAAAGTGACGCATCTTAAAATAACATCATTAGAAGTTTTACCCATTTCAGCAAGAGATTTAATAACTGCACAGGTAAATAGTTGGCTCACTGCACCACCCAACGAATGACCAGTAATAATAATCTTCCATCCTTGCAATAGCCAACTGATAACAGCAATTAATGGCCCTGATTTAGCTCGCTTGGAAAATCCTGCATGTCTGCTACCTTCGTAAGCTTCCCGATTGGCATGAAAACTAATATCTGTAAATACATCATTTAGCGACTTTGATGAGACGGTTGCACGAAATACCAATATAACTGTCTTCTGTGCATCTTGACGGCAAATTAAAAATGGATGCTGCTCTTGTGGGAGAACACTTACGTCAGAAAAAATCAGTACGGATTCTGCCGGAAATAAAGACCGACATTGTGCAAGTTTGTCGTCAATGTAAGCATATTTTGAATTTGGATCAGCTCCGTTTTCTTCATACATGTCATGAAGCCACCAACATAAATTAATCAATAATCGGGTCCAAACTTTACCTTCATGGCTTGAGTGAAAAGATGCAGATTTATCTAATACGGACAGATCAGGAAAACAAAATGTTTGGGCATTTTCTGCCCGATTCGATGCAGACATTGTAATGAGAAAAATCTACAATATGAGAAGACGCGATGAAAAAGACTTTCAACACTACGTGAAGGCAAAAGGATTAATCGCGTTATTATTATTCGTAAAAATTTCGCACACCTAAGGGATGTAGTGTGTTGAAGTGATGCTAATTATCAATATTACAGGTTGTGGGTGTGGGTGGGTGCGGGCGGGTGTGGGTGGATGGGTGTGAGTGTGGGTCTGGGTCTGGGTCTAGGTGCGGGTGTGGGTGTGGGGTTTGGGTGTGGATGTGGGCGCGAGCGAGGGTGAGTGTTGTTTATTTCCCTCCTAAGCTCCCAGCCCCACCCCCCCCACCCCTCCCCACTCCCCCGCCCCCC